ATTGGAGAGGATTTCCAATAACGACTATCAATACTCCAATACGAGGAACATGTTCGATAGATGTAATGCTGCAACAACAAACACTGATGCTTTGAACTCAATGGTAACACAAATCATAGCGTTGACTGACATGGTAAAGAAATTACAAAGGTCGGGTGACATGTATGAAGTAAAAAAATTTCTAACCCCTCTTGTGTTTATTATGGTGATGCACACAATAATGAAGAATGTCCACAAAACCCCGAGTCTATTTATTTTTGGAGAAATTTTAATAGGTGAGATAATGTCAATCATGATGGAAATTCATACAATGCCAATTATAGAAACCATCCCAATTTATCTTGGAAGAGCCAAAACAGTACCAATCCTAATGTTGTTCAATCTATCTCTGACAACCACCAGCAGCATTACAATCAACAGCCAATGATGCCACATCATCAACAACAAGCGTAACCACATCAAAGGTAAAATTATCAAAGGGCAAAATGCTAATGAATTGTCTAATCTAACTTCTCTCGAAGTTTTGATGAAAGAATACATTTTAAGAAATGAAGCAGTAATTCAAAGCTAGCCAGCATCATTACGAGTGTTGGAGAACCAAGTTGGCCAATTGGCTAATGCTTTAAGTAATAGGCAACCAAGAACGCTGCCCAGCGATACCGAAGTTCTTAAGCCTCATGGAAAGGCTCATTGTAATGAGCATTGCAAGTTCATCACAACTCGAAGTGAAATCCATATTGGGAGACCTACTGTTTAAACAAGAAGAAGAGTGATGAGCAACAAACCAAGGACAATGAGGTAGCACAGGAAACATTTATTCCAGATGTTGCAGCAAAGGACACTAGATAAAGTAGAAATTCAGGGAAATGCCAGTAACATCACCTCAAGCAGTACCTCCTGTCATACTTGTAATGCCACAACTAACACCGAATCAACCAAATCTAAGACCTTCACCACCTTTCCCGCAAAGATTCAAGAAAACCAATGAGGATCAACAATTTAAGGCGTTCATTGATATACTTTGTCAATTAACAATCAACATCCCGTTGATAGATAATTTGGAGAAAACCCCAAACTACATCAAATTTATGCATAAAGTAATATCCAAGAAGAGAAGTCTAGGCGAGTTCTAAACTATTACACTTATCGAAGGCTATAGCACCTTGGTTACGAGTCAATTACCACCAAAACTCAAGTATCTAGGGAGTTTCACTATTCCTTGTAGCATTGGTGATCAGTTTATAAGTAAAGCCTTATATGACTTAGGTCTCAACATTAACCTTATGCCATTTTCTATTTTTTAAGAAGTTTGGAAGTGAAGACGCAAGGCCAACTACTGTGACTTTGCAACTTGTCGATCGATCCACTGTGCATCCTAGTGGAATTATGGAAAATATGCTGGCTCGAGTGGATAAATTTATATTCCCCACTGACTTCATTATGCTAGACTGTGAAGCCAACAAAGACGTTTTAATCATTCTTCGCAGACCCTTCCTTTCTACAGGGCGAGCTCTTATTGATGTTGAAAAAGGAGAATTTACTCTGTGTTTAAATGATGAATATATTACTTTCAATGTCTAGAAACAATTTTCTTATATGGATGATAATGTCGAATGCAATAGTATTGATGTTATTGATGTTTATGTGTAGGAGCATTTGGATGAAAGCTATACCATGGGAGTCGTTACAGCAAATATTGTAGCAATTGAAGAAATCAAAGACAATGAGGTAGGAAATTTTATGCAACACTTTAAGTCCTTGGAATTTTCTGATCGACCTATTCAATCACTAAAGATGTCCATAGAAGAACCCCCTAAGCTTGATCTTAAACCCTTGCCCGAGGATTTTAAATATGCCTTCCTTGGAGAAAATAATACTTTTCCAATCATTGTCGCAGCAAAGCTTACAGCATCACAAGCAGACATCTTGATTGTTGTGTTGAAGCAACATAAGAAAGTAATTCCTTGGAGCATCGTTGATGTCAAGGGGATTAGTCCAGTATTTTTGCATGCATAAGATTCTGTTGGAGGATCTGAATAGCAGTTCTATTGAACAAAAAAGAAGGTTAAACCCAATCATGAAGGAAGTTATTCACAAAGAAGTCATCAAATGGCTGAATGTTGGGATCATATACCTCATTTCTTATAGCAGTTGGATGAGCCATGTGCAATGTGTTCCCAAGAATAGGGGCATAACCGTAGTAGCAAATGAGAAGAATAAGTTAGTGCCTACATGCACAACTACAGGCTGGAGAATTTACATGGACTACTGCAAGCTGAATAAAGCTACAAAGAATGATTATTTTCTACTATCGTTTATTGACCAATTGCTAGTCAGACTTACTGGGAAAACTTTTTACTGTTTCCTTGATGGGTGATATAATCAAATTGCTATAGCTCCTGAAGATCAAGGCAATACAACATTCGCTTGTCTTTATGGAATTTTTGCATTCCGAAGAATATTGTTCGACTTGTGCAATGCTCCATCAACATTTCAGCACTATATGATGGCAATATTCTCTGATATCATTGAATATTTCTTGGAAAAATTCATGGACAATTCTCTGTTTTTGGGCAAGATTTTGAGCAATGCGTTGCTCACTTGGTCACGGTTTTGAAGAGATGTGAAGAAACTAACTTAGTTCACTTCATGGTAACCGAAGGCATACTGCTAGGGCATCACATTTGTCAATGTGTCATTGAAGTAGAGGTAGAAGTTATTGAGAAGATACCTTCTCCCTCAAATGTGAGGAATGTAAGGAGTTTTCTAAGGCATGCGGGCTTTTATCGTAGAGTCATCAAAGATTTCTCCCAAATTGTCAAACCTTTGTGCTCGTTGCTGGAGCAAAATAAGAAGTTCGTGGTGGATGCTGAAGTCCTTGAATTATTTGAGGCCATTAAATCTAAGCTAGTCAATGCCTTAATTATCGTAGCACCATATTAAAGTTTACCTTTTGAGTTAATGTGTGAAGCTAATGAAAAAGAGTTGTTTGATGTAGTGTTTGCTTTTGACAAATTTCAACCTTATTTGGTTGGAACTAAGGTGATAGTTTACACAGACCACTTAGCTCTAAAGCATTTATTTGCTAAGAATGACACTAAGTCGAGATTGAATTAATGGCAGCTACTACTTCAAGAATTTGACATCAAAGTCCGAGATAAGAAGGGGACCCAAAAATTAAGTGGCTGACCTCTTGTCCCGCTCGGAATCTGGAAGCAAGGATGGTAGAACGCTTGTAATACCAGATGCTTTCCTCGATGAGAGATCGCTGGTCATCGATGCTCTACATTGGTACGTGGACTTTGTGAATTATTTAGTTAGTGGTATTTTACCACCAGATCTTAATTATCAAGGTAGAAAGAAGTTTATGCATGATGTCAAAGCATATTTTTGGGAAGAACCATACTTTTCAAGCAATGTAATGACCAACTTTTAAGGAGGTGTGTTCCCGAAAGTGAGCAGCAAAACATTTTATAACATTGCCATAATGCAACTTATGGTAGACATTTTGGTGGCATGCGTACAGCGGCGAAGGTCCTCCAGCGTGGTTACTATTGGCCATCGTTGTTCAAAGATGCTAATGTTTTCGTACAACATTATGATCGATACCAAAAAACAGGTAGCATTTCTCGGCGTAATGAAATGCAATGCAACCTATTTTGGAGATAGAATTGTTTGATGTTTAGGGATTGGATTTCATGGGACCTTACTCATCTTCTTGTGGTAACACTTTCATCCTCTTTACTATTGATTATGTGTCTAAGTGGGTTGAGGTTGTAGCATTACCCTCAAGTGATACTAAAGCGGTTCTTAGATTTCTCCACAAACACATTTTTACTCGCTTTGGAACATCAAGCATATTCATTAGTGATGAAGGTTCCCAATTTATTGTTCGACAAGTAGCTAATGCCCTGCAGCGTTATGGAGTCAAAGCTCGCATTGCTACAACATATCATCCTCAAACAAATAGTCAAACTGAGATTTCCAACCGTGAGATCAAGCAAATCTTGGAAAAAGTGGTAAATCCTTTAAGAAAAGATTGGTCTTTATGACTTGAAGAAGCTCTTTGGGCTCATAGGACAGTTTTCAAAACTCCTTTGAGTATGTCTCTTTATTGCCTTATCTATGGCAAAGCTTGTCACTTACTTGTAGAGCTGGAGCACAAAGCCATGTGGGCATTAAAGAAACTGAACTTTGATCTCAATGTTGCTGGTGAAGAAAGAATGCTAGAGATCAATGAACTTGATGAGCTATGCAACAATGCTTATGAGAGTGCTCAAATCTATAAGGACAAGAGTAAGAAATGACATGACCTATATATCTTGCCAAAGTAGTTTCATGTTGGACAACAAATATTGTTATTCAACTACTGTCTAAAGCTTTTCCCGATCAAACTCAAGTCTCGCTGATCTGGACCCTTTGAAGTTGTAAATGTCTATCCTCATGGGGCAGTGCTTTTAAAGAATTTAGTCGAAGAACATTTAAAGTCAATGGGTGGCGTTTAAAGCATTATTTCCAACAACAAAACCCTCATATCACCTCCATCATATTAATAGATCTCCCTCCATTTTAATTTATTTTGTTATAATTAAGTCGATTTTGAAATTTGTTAGATTTTTCATTTTTGATTTGATTTTAATTAATGTTATTTCTTTTTATTCAGGATACTGTTGAAGTTTCCTACTAAAATACTTTTCCTGTGAATGATTATGTCAATTACCCGTCTCTACAATATTTATTTCTGCATTGGATGCTACAACATTTTCCAGATAAAGCGAGTAACTTTTGGTAAAAAGTAATTTGTATGAGTTGTTACCCATTTTATCCTTTGCATATCACCATCCACTTTATTTTATCTTAACCATCCAATTTTTATATTAATCCTTATCATTTTATTTAAATTTTAAAAACATCCCTTTTACTACTCTCACACGCCACCCTTTAATATTCCGCCAACCTCAAAAGTAACTCACACTTATTGTATTTTACGGTACCCTTCATCTTCTTCCTTCAGTCGTTTCTCATTGGTTTTAAAAGACCCTTCATTTTTCTTCCAAGACTCTTCCTTTTTCTTACATCCTTCCATTTTCTTTTAAGTATTTTATTTCCTCAGCCATGGCTCTAAAAAAGAAGGTTGTTGTCAAGAGTTCTAGTCGTAACCTGACCTCTCTGCTGCCGAACTCGCCGTGGAAACCAATGGCTTCCACTGAGCCCATACAATTTATGGAAGCTGAGCAGCAGAGGCGTTAGAATGAGAACTTTACTGATCGGGAGTTTTGCAACGAACAAGGCTTCGATTTGTCCTTTGCTGATGACTTGAAACCTTTTGCATATGTGACTGATACGATTGCAAAGCTGAAATGAGAGACTTTCTGTGCCCACGCAGGCAAAATTAATCATCACTGGGTTTGGGAGTTCTACAGTAATCTCGTTCATGAAGAGAAGCCTTTAGTTTTTTTTCGGGAGAAATTGGTTCATTGGTGGGCTGCACCGATTAACAGCCTACTCGGGCTTGAAGAAGGTGTTTGTGAGCACATCGAATTCGTCAACAACCTCACAACCGATGCTTTGGAACAAGTTGCAAGGGATGTGTGCCTACCAGGTAAGACTTGGATCAAATCTTCTTCCGGTGGCTACACCATGCGTCGGTTGGACCTTAATCAAGAGGCTCAGGTATGGTTCATTTTCCTTCGAACTCGTTTAATGCCTACTATGCATTCTTCAACCATTACTAGAGATAGAATTTTTCTGTTACATTCTATTTTGCTGTGTAGATGTATTGATGTTGGTAAAATCATCTCTGATGAACTGTTTGCATTTACCCAAAAGGCTACTGGTTATTTATATTTCACGTCCCTCATCACTATACTGTGCCACAAAGCACAAGTGGTTCGATTTCCTTATGATTAGGTTTTAAAGAATAGGAGTACTATCACTATTGTTGCTATTAAGCGAACATTGCTAAAGGAGATACTCGAGCCAAAATCTTTAATACCCAAAACCAGTGAGCCAGAACCTGCTGCTGGGCAGCCATATGAACCACAACCTTTGAATCAATCCTTCAATCTGCCAAATGCTATGGCATCTGTAGTAAGACGGTAGGACAACATAATGGCAATATTGAGCCATACTATCTAAATTCAGTCCCAAATGCATGTGCAATACTGGAAATACACTCAGGCCAGAGATGTTGTGCCAAAGAAATATCAACAACTTTGGTCAAGGATGGGAAATTCATTTTTCCAGCATTTTCTACAAGTATTCTCGCTAATCTTGCTCAACCGCATGTGTCAAATGCTACTGACAGTTCCAATAGCGTTGAGGAGGTACCAGCAACCAAGACTGATGTTGGAGATGACACAATGGAAACCGAGACCAAAAATGATGAAGTCGAGGAAGAAGAAGGAACTAAGGAGGAGGAGGAGGAATATGAGGTTGATTCGGCTGCTTCAACAGATGTCATTGCAGTTGGTTCTGATGATTTTGATCCTATGGAGACCAACGAGACACTCAGCCAAGAGAAAGAAAAAGAGGTCACAACCAGCCAAGAGCATACTACTGCGAAGCAGCTTTTGGACTTGAACATTTACACTGCTGCTCAAGATGTTGCAATAGCATAACAACAGGAGTTGGACATTGTCTAACTTCTCAGCAATGTACTTAAGGATATAAAGCAAATGGAGGCAGTAAGCGAGCTTGGAGACATCGATATTGATCTGGTGAACAGGACTTTGACACATACTTTTGTTTCGAAAATTGCTAAAGATGTTGACTACGCGAAAATTGATAGTAAAATTGTTGAGGAAATTTAGCAAGGTACCGCGAGTCAGCCCAAGGGCTCAGCCGAGAAAGCTATGGGCAGCGCTAGGGGACAATTGGAGAACCTGGACACTTCCACACCCGAACAAACTAAGAAGGTTCCTCTTAGAATCCCTGATGCTGCTATGGTGAAACCTACTTCAACTTCCATCGGTGTTAAACGGAATAGCTCGATGAAGGTGAAGGTGTCATCCAAATGTGTTCGCCCAACTGCTTCCAGTCCAAGAAAAGGCCCAAGGAAACCGACTTAGGGGAGTTTTGTTCTCCTTTTCTTTATTTTTCGTTTTTATGCATTGGGGCAATGCACACCTTAAGTTTGGGGGTGTTTTGTCCATTGGTGTTGTGCATATATAAGCATGTTGTAGACACCCGTTTTTGTCCGGGTTTTTTATCGTTATTTTATTATTATTATTATTTATTATTATATTATTAATATTACATTTTACATATTTTGCAGGCCAAAGCCCAATACAACAAGGTCCAACCAAGGCCCAACCAAGGCCCAAACACGAGCCCAAGTAATTAGGGTTTTTAACCCTAACTCATCAGCCAGCCAGCCAGCCGCCTCTGGCTATTTGGCTTCCCCAGCCTTGCGTGGTCTTCACCAGTCACTCCCGAGCCGAGTGAGCTGCCGCCGACGATCCCAAGCCACCGCCGTTCTCAAACCTGCACCAAACAGTGACCAAAAGCTCTCAACAGTAAAAAAATTAATCAAAAATCAAAACAAGGACTAGAAATCCCGAGGCAATCGGGGGTTATCAATCTAGCCGAAATAGGGTATTCATACCCTATTTCTTTCTCGATGGCAGTAAGAAAATCATATAAAACATGCAAGGACAACCATCAGCAATCAGAGGCAGAGGATAAAAGAAAGATATAGAACCAAAGTGAGGGGGCATTCGGGTTTCAAGAAAAAAAAAAGAGAAAAAACAGAAAAACGATGGGGGGGTTTAAAAAAAAAACGAGAGGAACCATAAAAAAGGGAGAGAAATAAAATCGAAAAAAAACGAAAGCACATTTTTCAGTCAAACCAAACAACCGAAAAGAACCACAAGCAAAGAGAGAAGAAGAGAATCATACCTTGTTCGGAGGAGCATCCCAAAGGTCACTGGTTCCTTTTGTTTTGAAAGGTAAACTTTAGATTTGAGGAGTTGGGGTTGCTTTTAGACTAAACTAATTAGGGATCTAGGTGGAGGGAGATGAGAGGATGATTTTGAGGGTCTTTGGCCCGTTCCGGCCACCGTGGGCCGCCGCGCACCGCCGTGAGGCATCGCCGGCGGCGGAGACTTTTCTTCTCCCCGATGAGGGAGTTGAGAGAGTTTTAAGATCCCTCTCTCCTCCCTCTGTTTCTCTAGCTGAGAAAATGAGAAGTTTAGCCCGTTTTAGCCTTAAAAAAATAAATATATGGTTGAACCAAAACGACGCCGTTTTAGGGGTTCAGGGTATGCGTGTTTTAGCATGAAAGGGGTAAACCGCGCTTTTAGTCCCTGATTCTTTGTAACCGTGCGATTTAACCATTGAATGAAGTTTCATTTTATTTGACTTTGGGCTTTCATCTTTTCACTGATTACATATTGGTCACTATCCGTGCTTTATGGCATTTTGTCTATATTTGATTCTGGTTTTAATATTTTCAAATATTTCAATTTGATCACTGATTCAATGTATTTTATAATCTTTGTGTTATTCGAATCTGGCCATCACATTTATCAATATTTTATTTTAGTCCTATTAATGTATGTTATGTCATTTTTGTGGATATTTGATTTTGGTTCCAATGTTTGTAATAGTCTCATTTTAGTCACTAATTTCGTGTGTTGTGTATTTTTGTGGATGTTCGAATTTGGCCATGATATTTATGTTTCTTATATTTTAGCCACTGTTTGGTATTTGGTATAATTATTGTTTGAATCTTTAAGTTTCTGTTTATTCTAAAATTGACCACTGATTTTGTTCTGTTTTATTGTAGCCATTGATTAATCTAGTTTCTTTATTTTATGTTTCTGATATTGTAGTTTCAATTTACACAGTTTAGTCACTTGTCTATAAAGCTTAGTTATTTTATTTTATTTGCGTTATGGTTTGCCATGTTTGCATGTTTACATTTTAACCCATGTTATATTATTGTACTCATATTTTACTTTGGCCACTATGTTTGTATTAGTTTCATTTTAGTCATTGATTTTTATATGTTGTATGTTTTGGCTGATGTTCAAATTTGACCCTACGATTTGTAAATCTGTTCATTTTAGTCACTAGTTTGCATTCGGTTTAATTACTATTTTAGTCCCTACGTTTCTGTTTTTGCCATTTTAGTCTTTTAATTTTCTATTTTTCTGTTTTAGCCCTTTAATTTGTTATTACCATGTTAGTCATTGTAATTATTAAATATTTACTTTTTGACCATTATATTTTGGGTTGTAACATTCTTTTAATCCCCTATGTATGTACATTTTTCATGTTATGTATTTATTTGTACCATATGTAATTAAGCATGCTTAATTCTATTTGTTGTAAATATTTATTTCACATATTTTTATTTCTATTTATTTCCATTTTTCTTTATTTAAATATTATCCAAATACTTTTAAGAACACGTATGCGTAGAATGAGCGTGGAAAGTATCACTTGGTCGAAGTGGTGCGATCCGATACGGCATTTTAACGATATAGGAATTTGCAACAAATCGAGTATATTTCACTAATTAATTTGTGCAAATGATGCAATGTGTGTTATTTTAAATAGTAATTTATTTTATTTTATGTAAATGTCAATTTCAAAATTTGCATTTGTATTCAATTCACATTTTAGTTGATCAATTTATTTTGTTGTATGCAAACGTCAATTTTATTTATATTCGATTCACATTTTATCAAGAGAGAAATATTCTTTATGGATGAGAAATAGTCGAGTTAGCTTTCCCGATGGAGGATTGCTAATTTCGAGATTTCTTTTCGAGTTAAAGAATTTTCTCTAATTATTTAATTCGAAGCAAATTAATCAACGTTCGATAAATAGATCATATTTTAACTTTATATTTGATTTATAATTTCCACCATTTACAATGATGTGTAAGCGACACAGTACCAATTTTGGGCGTTGTGGGGGTGTTTACCCTTCCCTGCACGTAACCGACTCCCGAATCCATTTAAATGAATCTTTGGTAACGCAGACCGAATCTTGTCTTAAAAAATGATTTTTCTTAAAATTGTTTTAAAAGACGTTTTTAGGTATTCGACCTACCTAATCCAAAGGTTGATGGCGACTCTTTTTAATTTTATTCAAATCAATGCAAAATCACCCATTTTTCCAAATTAAAGTCATAATTGTTTTTAAAAATAATATTTAATTGTTTTATAAAAAAAATGGTTATGACAGCTTGGCGACTCCGCTGGGGATTTTTTTTAGAGAGTCAAGCTGTATGTCGCTTACACAATGTCGTTATGGTCGAAATTATGAGTTCGAGTCTTTAGTTAATTTATGATCCATTTATTGAAGTTTTTTATTGCTTCATTTTTAATTATCATACTAACATTTTATCTTTTTGCTTTCAGCTCTGTCCAAGTTTTTGTCGAGTTTTTTTCTTTTCATTTTGGGTCAAAGGTAGGTATGTTCCTCCTCACACACATCACTCGCATTGACATAACATAAGCTCTAGACACGAGCTTCGATCCAAATTAGTTGGGGTGAATGCTTTACTCTCGTAAGAATTTATTCTTCGTATGAGTTTTAGCAAATAACCCATGGGATACATACCTTATACCTTCGTAGGGATTTATTCCTCGTACGGGTATAAGACAGTGAATCCCCTCGAATTGAACTCGTTCCGTTTGAAACCTGTAATGGGTGAGGATCGAGGGTCTGGCAGCCCAAGGGGGCACCGACATCAAGGACAATTCGAGTACCCTTTTCCCCGTTAGAGCCAAAACCAAGCATATAATGAACCGTCGAACGATCACCCTAGGTATAATCATACTGAACCTTTGTCCGTCAGTAGGTACCCAAAATAGGTGTACACGAAGGAAGAACGACTCTAAACCTTAACCTTTTAAATTTGTAGAATATTTTTTTTCCGAATAAAGCATGCGAACTAGATACCATGCGGTTAGAACCAATTTCTTGAAAATAGATCATTTTGGGTAGATAGCATGTCCGGGTAGGATTGTTATTTAATTGAAAGCATGTTTGGGTAGATATCATGACGGGGTAGGTGTTATATCCATCTCTGAATTACATTTTTATTTGTATCAATTATTTTACATGTACTAACTTATTTTTCTCTTTTGTTTGTGTATACTAACTTATTTCTTCTCTTTTGTTCGTGTCATTTTGTCATTTGCATTGCATTGCATTGCATCATCATAATGCAAAAGTGTTGATCCGTAAGGGGATATTCGAGAGAAAATTTTCACAAGAAGAGATAAAAGTTTTCAATCAAGCGATCGCATACACAGACATGCATCGAGGGCTAAAAAGAAGTCCAGAGTACAAGAATGAGATTTTCTCGAAGATTGTGCATCATTCGAGACTGATATGATGAGCCACTGATCCGATGAGTGATCCAGCAGTCGATTTTTATCTACGATCGTTTCATCGCTATTTATCAAGGAGCGGCACACTGACTTCCGCACCACTGGGGTATTAACAGAGTTAGGTTACAGAATGCTTTAGGGGCATCAGTTCCAAATACAAAGATCCGAGACAAAGCAGTGAGCTCGAAGATCGTGCAACATTTAAGACTGAAGTCTGGGGATTAATCCAGCAGTAGATTTATTTACGATCGTTCCGACGTTATTCATCGAAGAGTGATGCACTGACTTCAGCATCGCCGAGGCATTAAAAGAGTTTGTTTACAGAGCGCTTGAGGGGCATCATTATTGAGGACGAAGATCCGATATGAAGCAGTGATCCATTCCAGGCTCACCATCTAAGCGAAGGCATGTCTGTGAAGTGGATTGTTTTGTAATGTGAAGGTTTTTATTTCTGGTGAAAATTATTCTACGATATTCATCGTTGGGATCAACATTTTTGCATCTTCATTTGCATCCTTGCATTTTATGCATATGTATTTTATTTTTAAGCTTTTTCATATGCATCATTCATAAAAACATGGGATCAATTTGTGGAGAAGTCAGTGGAAGTGATCCTGATCACGTGACCATATTGAGAATATAAGCAAGAAGCTGAAATCAACACGATAGAAGCTTGTTCGATTGAGTCTTCCAGGATGGTTCGAGAAAAGAGTCATCGTTCCCTGAGGTCTACGATGTTGATCCATTGCACAATTTCCATCTAAGAAGCTCCAGACATTCCACTGAGAACTGCAAGACACTAAAGCACAAAATCCATAATAT